GCGGCAACCATGCTATACAGGCTGTCCTTAAAATTTGTTGGCTCAGAATTTTTTTATTCACTTACATTTATTTTTGTACTTTTTAATAGAAAATTTATTTTAGAAACTTTTATCACTCTTTGAAAATTTTGATAACATTGACCGTTTCCGAGTTATACGCGAAAATATTAAGCTTCGATTTCAATGGTAACACTAAAAAACAAAGTCTTCGAATAAGTCAAGGTTGGCCATGGCAATTAAAAAAAACAACTTGCTGTCAACTTGCTCATGTCGTTTAAACACAAACNTTAAAGATATGAAATATAAACTTTAAAAGATCGTATCTCAAGAACGAAATGAGATCTTGGTACATGCCAAGATCATGAAGGATTGTCTTTGATGAATGTGATATATGATGACCAAGATTTTGTTACATCTTAAGTTTCTTCTGGCCTTTTTATTTTAATTAACCTAAAAGCGCACTCCACAAAAGGAATAATGCGGAATCCAAGGAATAAGAAAGAGTTGGTTCACTTATTGAGACGTTAAAAAGTCGATACTGAGGTTTCCTGGTGATGATAGATGAAGAAACCTGCAGCTTAATAAAATGGAATGACTAACAGAAGCTTAGTCAATGGCCATAATGATTGTAGCGAGCATTTTCATTTGTAATAAGTAATCTATTATCAAATTAACTTTTATGTTTTTAAGATACTTTTTTCAAGCACAAATGCAATGAATAGGATTCGAATTGGTTTTTATATGGAAACCAAGATTTGTTTTGGTAAAAATAAGAAATAAATAAATTTGGAAATGACTCACCGAGTGGATGTTGTCTTCCTTGGTTCTGACATCGTAGCTCAGCTGGAAAGAAAAGATAAATTCATTTATTGCGACAAAAAATGAATTAATATGATACCTTTTAACATCCACAAAATAGCAATCCGGCGATCTCAACATCACTAATGTCACTAGCATCACTAACATCACGCATCACTTAGCACAAATATAACATTTTGTATTTATCACTTAATTCGCGTAGTAAGTTTTAATTCTCCTTGAATTGCAATGCAAAGTAGAAATAGTGGAGGTGCATAAATAAAAAAAACCTATGGGTGACGGATTTTCTGGTTTTCAAACTCGACCTTTCAATAAAAAATTACTCGTTTTCTCGAAACATTTCCACTAAATACGTAATATTATTAAAATAAATCGCATTTACCCATTTTAATGCGCAACGCTTTTTGAAAAAGAATCAAATGTCCAACAAAATCCTATGTATCATCATCCGTCATTCTTTCTATTATGAAATATAAACTTTAAAAGATCGTATCTCAAGAACTAATTGAGATATCAAGTTGAAATAAAGAACATTTTAAAGAAAATTTGATGAAGATTGAATGTGCCATAAATAATTTCTTATTTCCCATAAACATCGTTGTTATGATTTTTTAAATCCAACTCTACATGTTTGATTGCTATAGGTATGAAATATAAATTTAAAAAAATCGTATCTCAAGAACAAATTTAGATATCATCATGAAATAAGAAGCAATTTAACGCAAATTTATTTAGTATTTAGTATATTGAACACCATTTTTTCAAATCTTCAAATTTTGGAGTTATCATATTTTGATTGCAACCTTGCATATGCTTAAACATAAATGTTAGGATAATTAATCTTTACGTATCTCATAAACCAAATGAGATATCGTTATGAAATAGAAAGCAGTTTAAAGCTAATTTAATGAACATTTAGTGCGCCATAAATAATTTCTTGTTTCCCATAATTATCATTGTTATGATTTTTTAAATCCAACTCTGCATATTTGCTTGTTGCCAATACGAAAACTAAAAAAATCGTATCTCAAGAACGATATCATAATGAAATAAGAAGCAAATGACAGAAAATTTATTTAGTGTTTAACGTATTGAAAATCATTTCTTCGAATCTTCAAATTTCTGAGTTTTGGTAAAAATAAGAAATAAATAAATTTGGAAACGACTCACCGAGTGGATGTTGTTTTCCTTGGTTCTGACAACGTAGCTCAGCTGGAAAGAAGAGATAAATTAATCTATTGTGACAAAAAATGAATTAATATGATACCTTTTAATACCCACAAAATAGCAATCCGACGATCTCAATATCACTAATGTCACTAGCATCACTAACATCACTAACATCACTCATCACTTAGCACAAATATAACATTTAGTATTTATCACTTAATTCGCGTAATAAGTTTTAATTTTCGCAACACTTTATCACCCCACAATACCCGCACATCAACTAAAATGCGTTATTGGCCGACCAACATCCCAACATCCCCTCCTTGAATTGCAATGCAGAGCGGATTTCTGGTTTTAAAACCCAATCTTTCCATAAAAAAAAATACTCGTTTTCTCAAAACATTTCAACTAAAACGTACGTAACTTTAATAAAATAAAACGCACTTATCGAATTTTTATGTGCAACACTTGTTGGAAAAGAGTCAAGTGTCTAACAAAGTCTTATGTATCATCCATCATTCTTTCTATCAAGGTTGCCAGGTCTTACGATATATCATGAAATCTCATGATATTACCTTTAATCTCATGATTTGACATGTACTTCTCACGATTTTATTACAAAAATAATATAATAATTAGTGTTAATAAAAAATCAAAGTAAAATCATAGCATTTTCAATTCGAATTGTAGGTTACCGTAAATGTCTCTATTAGTTACATCTATTTGCCGTTAGATGGCGCTAAAAATGACTTAAACTAATTTTTTTTCCTTTTAATTATATCATTTTTATAAATTAACGTTGTCTAAACTATTTTACTTGAATGCTATGCTTATATGTAACACATATTATTAAAATTGAGTGATTTTTAAATAAATTTCAACATCTCACGATTTTTTATGACATGGCTCACGACGATCGTATATATATAATATAATATAGGGTTTTGGCCCTAGTTGTACTTTCAACCTACACTTTTAGTTATTTTTTAAGAGAGTCGAAGTCGCTCATTTTTCATATAAGTGTACCCTTAGAATTTGCTAAAGAATGACCCGCTGACGTTTGAGAACGTCATTCAGATACACCTGTATACATATATATAGGCTGTCTCCGAAATGCGTGTACAACGGAAGACCACAATTTCCTTGACTCAAAATAGGTCGATTTAAGTTAAGTTATCTATATCCAAAGTTGCTTCGTTTCGCCGCTAGAGGACTTCAAAATTAGCAAAAAAAATTCTTTTATTTTTTATAACTCAAAAACGTGTAAATCAATTGAAACCATTTTTCAGAAGTATTAAACATAAATTGCAATTAGTTGAAATCATTGCCAACTACGATAAGGTAACTTTTGTAACTGCAATGACGTAAACAAGACTTGCAGATATTTAAAAACACCTTTTTTCTGGCTTAACCACTTATGTAAACAAAATCTTATAAGAGGCAAAAACGGTTTAGAACTAAATGGGCTATTCAGAAATTATAATAATGTAATTGTCGCCTGGCCAGAAAAAGAAATATGGAGTAATATCCGGTGAACACATGACATTTCCATCATTCCTGTGTTTCTAAAATTGTATCAAAAACCATAAAAAGACGTTAATTGAACCTAGGAGGAACCTCACTTCTGAAAAATAGTTTCAAATGATTTACACGTTTTCGAGTTATAAAAAATAAAAGAATTTTTTTTTACTAACTTTGAAGTCCTCTAGCGGCGAAACGAAGCAACTTTGGATATAAATAACAACTTAAATCGACCTATTTTGAGCCAAGGAATGTGTGGTCTTCCGTTGTACAGGGTGGTTCAAATTCGATGTCCGAATAGGCTAACTCGGAAACTATAAGAGTTAGAAAAAAAGTAGTTTACATGTCATGATCTCGTTTTTTGAGAAACTGCTAATGCCGAAAACCTTATACCGCTATCGTCTTTTGTTTTTTTCCAAGAGGTCAAAATTGAAAATATCGTAAAACCAACAAGTGCAATTATCTTGGTTATTATTATAGGTGGAGTATTATAACTAAGACATTATATGGACACTTTTTTACAGAGAATTTGGTGACGTAGACAAAAAAATTTTTTCTGTTTTAGATTTTGAGATATTATGACAATTTTCGTTTTTTTAAATGGAAACAACCACTGATTATTCGCTTATTAAATTCGTTATTTTTTTCTGATTACAAAAATATAGGGTTTGAAAAGTCTATTTCTTATTGTTTTAGAATAAAGTTAAAAATAATCTTTTTTTTAGTGTTATCAAAGAAATTAAATTTACAGTTTCCTGTAAATTACGGTACTATAACTAAAAATTAGTTTTTTTTTGACTACGTCATGAAATTCTTTGTAAAAAAGTGTCCATATAATGTCGTAGTTATAATACTCCACCTACAATAATAACCAAGATAATTGCACTTATTGGTTTTCAAGTTAACCTATTCGGACATCGAATTTGAACCACCTTGTACACGCATTTCGGAGACACCCGTATATTATTAATTATTATAAATCATGAACTCTTGTTTTGTATCTGTGTTTATAACATATTCCTAGATATTTTCTAGATTATTTTAACGCTATAGAAATGTATTGAGTCTTATTTTATTTTGTATGAACCTAAGTTTTTTGAATTGTGTCTTTAGGTTTTGGATCAACATGTTATATCTTTGTAACACAACACTTGATATTTAATAATCACTTTATTAAATATAAATCAACGTACATTCTTAGTTTAAACTTATTCTAATTGTAAGATTTTGGTTACCGCCATTTACAGACATGACAGCTTCTTATCTGTAGCGCCCTCTTTTAGTTGTTCTTACAAACATTAAATCTACTACACAACAAAATCTACTTTATCTACATTTATAATTTGATGTAATGAAGCGATTTAATTAACAATAACAAATACAATTTTAATTAAATTTAATAATCAAAATCAATTATAACTTCAATATTTAAAGATTTTTCAATATAACCTCACTTTTAAAAATTAAAATTAACATGTCATTAAATAACATAACCTCACTTTTAAATGTCATCAAAACTTGTCAACAATTTTTTAATGTGATTAAGAGAAATTTTTTGAGTAATGTCACGAATAATAGTCGGTGGGGGCATTAGCGGCTTATCAGCCGCTTATTACGCTATGAAACAACCGACAAATCAACCTTTAATAGTTTTAGAAGCAACGGATCGTTTTGGGGGTTGGTTAAAAACGACCCGATTAATCGATGGGACAATTTTCGAACAAGCAGCGCGAACGATTCGGCCCAGCGGCATTTCAGGCGCAAACACTTTACAATTAGTCGAAGAATTAGGGTTGGGAGACGAAATTATGCCCGTTTCAAAACTAAGCCCGGCTGCAAAAAACAGAATGATTTACGCAAACGGGTCGTTACATTCCTTACCGAATTCATTAATGGGGTTGTTTCGACGGCAAGAACCGTTTAGCAAACCTTTAATTTATTATTTAATGAACGACGTTATAACACCAAAAAAGCACGTTTTAGGAGATGACGAATCTTTGTACAGTTTCGCTTCGAGACGATTCGGAAATGAAGTCGCTGATTATTTAATATCCCCCGTTGTCTGCGGAATCTGCGGCGGTGATGCTAAAGAAATCAGTGTAAAGTTTTTGATGAAACCTTTATTTGAAAAGGAACAAAGATACGGGAGTGTTTTGCAAGGATTGTTTTTCGATGGTTTAACCAAAAAGAGAGAAAATTTAATGGATAGTCGGTTGTTGTTGCGTTCGAGGAGTGAAAAATGGAACGTTTATTCCTTTAAAAATGGAATTGAAGTCTTACCCAGGACATTAAAGAAAAAACTTGATTCGAAAGGCATTGATATTAGGGCTAACACAAAAATTGTCGATGTTGAGTTAAATAAACACTCAGTGATTTGTAAAACTGAATCAGGTGATTGCATCGTTGGTAATGAAATTATTAGTTCAATCCCCGCGTTTGAATTAAGCACCCTATTAAAGAATCACCACCCTGAATTAGCCTCAATTTTAGCGAGTATTCAATACGCTTCGATGTGCGTGGTTAATTTACAATACAATGGAAAGGTTATTCCTAAGGAAGGTTTTGGTTTTTTGGTGGCGCCCAACGAAGAATCGGCTTTATTAGGAGTGATTTTTGATAGTTGTTGTTTTCCGTATCGAGAAACGACGGTTTTAACCGCGATGATTGGAGGATATAAATACCACAAATACATTAATAACAATACAAGCGAGAAAGAGATGGAAATTATTGCGTTAAAGGAATTGAAGAGGATGTTGAAACTTGATGAGAAACCGCAATCTGTGAAAGTTCAATTCTTGAAGAACTGTATTCCCCAGTACATGGTTGGTCATGAAATGAAAGTGAAAGAAATTGAGGGTTATATTAAAAGGAATCGTTTGCCTTTGGCTATTTGCGGGTCGTCTTATTATGGTGTTGGTGTTAATGATGTGATATTTTCTGCTAAAAAGGCTATTGATGAAATTAGGGATTAAATTAAATTTTTAATTTGTATTTTTTTATTGTTTATTTTAATTTCCTTGGGTTTGTAAAGCTTCCTTTCCTAGAAAAAAAAGAAAAAACATTGTATTATTATTTTTGTATAGAGAAATCATAAAGAATGAGTAATGTCATTGTATTAAGCCGGCGCTACAGTTAATTCCATATCAACGTAAAACTAATCCGTGCAAAAAGTCAAAGCACCTCAATTTAGAGATCGATATCTTCGCAACCGCTCGATAAAAAAAATTTCGACAAAGTTTGTTGTGACGACGATGACGTGTCAAAGACAATTAAAATTTTACACTATAATATACAGGGTCTTAATGGCAAAAGCTTGCAGCTTGAAATTTTTGCCAAAGATAATAATTTTGATATTCTGTGTTTAAATGAACATTGGTTGTCAGATGATGAGATAAATTCTTTGAAAATAGATGGGTTTGCTAATACATCAAATTTTNAATGTCACCATCAACAACTTGAAAAAACAACAAATTCATCAAATTTTCATAGTTTCGAATTTTTCTTGATATCTATGTGTCTGAGTGCAAAAGTGCAATAGAGCAATATTGTTTACAATAAAATTTGTTACAACTTTTGTCTAAAAAGTATTTTTGTAACATGCTCACATTTCCTAATGTCACCATCAACAACTTGAAAAAACAACAAATTCATCAAATTTTCATAGTTTCGAATTTTTCTTGATATCTATGTGTCTGAGTGCAAAAGTGCAATAGAGCAATATTGTTTACAATAAAATTTGTTACAACTTTTGTCTAAAAAGTATTTTTGTAACATGCTCACATTTCCTAATGTCACCATCAACAACTTGAAAAAACAACAAATTCATCAAATTTTCATAGTTTCGAATTTTTCTTGATATCTATGTGTCTGAGTGCAAAAGTGCAATAGAGCAATATTGTTTACAATAAAATTTGTTACAACTTTTGTCTAAAAAGTATTTTTGTAACATGCTCACATTTCCTAATGTCACCATCAACAACTTGAAAAAACAACAAATTCATCAAATTTTCATAGTTTCGAATTTTTCTTGATATCTATGTGTCTGAGTGCAAAAGTGCAATAGAGCAATATTGTTTACAATAAAATTTGTTACAACTTTTGTCTAAAAAGTATTTTTGTAACATGCTCACATTTCCTAATGTCACCATCAACAACTTGAAAAAACAACAAATTCATCAAATTTTCATAGTTTCGAATTTTTCTTGATATCTATGTGTCTGAGTGCAAAAGTGCAATAGAGCAATATTGTTTACAATAAAATTTGTTACAACTTTTGTCTAAAAAGTATTTTTGTAACATGCTCACATTTCCTAATGTCACCATCAACAACTTGAAAAAACAACAAATTCATCAAATTTTCATAGTTTCGAATTTTTCTTGATATCTATGTGTCTGAGTGCAAAAGTGCAATAGAGCAATATTGTTTACAATAAAATTTGTTACAACTTTTGTCTAAAAAGTATTTTTGTAACATGCTCACATTTCCTAATGTCACCATCAACAACTTGAAAAAACAACAAATTCATCAAATTTTCATAGTTTCGAATTTTTCTTGATATCTATGTGTCTGAGTGCAAAAGTGCAATAGAGCAATATTGTTTACAATAAAATTTGTTACAACTTTTGTCTAAAAAGTATTTTTGTAACATGCTCACATTTCCTAATGTCACCATCAACAACTTGAAAAAACAACAAATTCATCAAATTTTCATAGTTTCGAATTTTTCTTGATATCTATGTGTCTGAGTGCAAAAGTGCAATAGAGCAATATTGTTTACAATAAAATTTGTTACAACTTTTGTCTAAAAAGTATTTTTGTAACATGCTCACATTTCCTAATGTCACCATCAACAACTTGAAAAAACAACAAATTCATCAAATTTTCATAGTTTCGAATTTTTCTTGATATCTATGTGTCTGAGTGCAAAAGTGCAATAGAGCAATATTGTTTACAATAAAATTTGTTACAACTTTTGTCTAAAAAGTATTTTTGTAACATGCTCACATTTCCTAATGTCACCATCAACAACTTGAAAAAACAACAAATTCATCAAATTTTCATAGTTTCGAATTTTTCTCGATATCTATGTGTCTGGGTGCAAAAATACAAGAGAACAATATTGCTTGCAATAAAATTTGTTACAACTTTTGTCTTAAAAGTATTTTTGTAACACGCTCAGATTCCCTAATGTCACCATCAACAACTTAAAAAAGCAACAAATTCATCAAATTTTCACCATTTCGAATTTTTCTTGATATCTATGTATCTGGGAACAAAAGTGTAAGAGAGACTATTGTTAAGAATAAAATTTCCTACAACTTTGGTTGAAAAAGTTTTTTTTTTCACTTGCTCACATTTCCTAATGTCACCATCAACAACTTGAAAAAACAACAAATTCATCAAATTTTCACAGTTTCGAATTTTACTCGATATCTATGTGTCTGGGTGTAAAAGTGCAAGAGAGGAATATTGCTTACAATAAAATTTGTTACAACTTTTGTCTAAAAAGTATTTTTGTAACATGCTCAGATTCCCTAATGTCACCATCAACAACTTAAAAAAGCAACAAATTCATCAAATTTTCATAGTTTCGAATTTTTCTCGATATCTATGTATCTGGGAGCAAAAGTGTAAGAGAGACTATTGTTAAGAATAAAATTTCCTACAAGTTTTGTTGAAAAAGTTTTTTTCTCACTTGCTCATATTTCCTAATATCACCATCAACAACTTGAAAAAACAGCAAATTCATCAAATTTTCATAGTTTCCAATTTTTCTTGATATCTATGTGTCTGGGTGCAAAAGTGCAAGAGAGGAATATTGTTTACAATAAAATTTGTTACAACTTTTGCCTTAAAAGTATTTTTGTAACATGCTCAGATTCTCTAATGTCACCATCAACAACTTAAAAAAGCAACAAATTGATCAAATTTTCACCATTTCGAATTTTTCTCGATATCTATGTGTCTGGGAGCAAAAGTGTAAGAGAGATTATTGTTAAGAATAAAATTTCCTACAAGTTTTGTTGAAAAAGTTTTTTTCTCACTTGCTCATATTTCCTAATATCACCATCAACAACTTGAAAAAACAGCAAATTCATCAAATTTTCATAGTTTCCAATTTTTCTTGATATCTATGTGTCTGGGTGCAAAAGTGCAAGAGAGGAATATTGTTTACAATAAAATTTGTTACAACTTTTGCCTTAAAAGTATTTTTGTAACATGCTCAGATTCTCTAATGTCACCATCAACAACTTAAAAAAGCAACAAATTGATCAAATTTTCACCATTTCGAATTTTTCTCGATATCTATGTGTCTGGGAGCAAAAGTGTAAGAGAGATTATTGTTAAGAATAAAATTTCCTACAATTTTTTTTGAAAAAGTTTTTTTCTCACTTGCTCACATTTCCTAATATCACCATCAACAACTTGAAAAAACAGCAAATTGATTAAATTTTCATAGTTTCGAATTTTTCTTGATATCTATGTGTCTGGGTGTAAAAGTGCAAGAGAGGAATATTGTTTACAATAAAATTTGTCACAATTTTTGCCTTAAAAGTATTTTTGTAACATGCTCAGATTCTCTAATGTCACCATCAACAACTTAAAAAAGCAACAAATTCATCAAATTTTCACCATTTCGAATTTTTCTTGATATCTATGTATCTGGGAGCAAAAGTGTAAGAGAGATTATTGTTAAGAATAAAATTTCCTACAACTTTTGTTCAAAAATTTTTTTTCTCACTTGCTCACATTTCCTAATATCACCATCAACAATTTGAAAAAACAGCAAATTCATCAAATTTTCATGGTTTCGAATTTTTCTTGATATCTATGTATCTGGATGCAAAAGTGCAAGAGAGCAATATTGTTTACAATAAAATTTGTTACAACTTTTGCCTTAAAAGTATTTTTGTAACATGCTCAGATTCCCTAATGTCACCATCAACAACTTAAAAAAGCAACAAATTCATCAAATTTTCACCATTTCGAATTTTTCTTGATATCTATGTATCTGGGAGCAAAAGTGTAAGAGAGATTATTGTTAAGAATAAAATTTCCTACAACTTTTGTTCAAAAATTTTTTTTCTCACTTGCTCACATTTCCTAATATCACCATCAACAATTTGAAAAAACAGCAAATTCATCAAATTTTCATGGTTTCGAATTTTTCTTGATATCTATGTATCTGGATGCAAAAGTGCAAGAGAGCAATATTGTTTACAATAAAATTTGTTACAACTTTTGCCTTAAAAGTATTTTTGTAACATGCTCAGATTCCCTAATGTCACCATCAACAACTTAAAAAAGCAACAAATTCATCAAATTTTCACCATTTCGAATTTTTCTTGATATCTATGTATCTGGGAGCAAAAGTGTAAGAGAGATTATTGTCAAGAATAAAATTTCCTACAACTTTTGTTGAAAAATTTTTTTTCTCACTTGCTCACATTTCCTAATGTCACCATCAACAACTTGAAAAAACAACAAATTGGTCAAATTTTCATAGTTTCGAATTTTTCTTGATATCTATGTGTCTGAGTGCAAAAGTGCAAGAGAGCAATATTGTTTGCAATAAAATTTGTTACAACTTTTGTCTAAAAAGTATTTTTGTAACATGCTCAGATTCCCTAATGTCACCATCAACAACTTAAAAAAGCAACAAATTCATCAAATTTTCACCATTTCGAATTTTTCTCGATATCTATGTGTCTGGGAGCAAAAGTGTAAGAGAGATTATTGTTAAGAATAAAATTTCCTACAATTTTTGTTGAAAAATTTTTTTTCTCACTTGCTCCCATTTCCTAATGTCACCATCAACAACTTGAAAAAACAATGAATTCATCAAATTTTCATATTTTTCTTGATATCTATATGTCTGAGTGCAAAAGTGCAAGAGAGCAATATTGTTTATAACAAAATTTGTAATATTATGTTACCATCAAGAATTTGAAAATACCAACCATACTGCCTGGATTCCTGATTTAACATGGAAACAAATCAAAATAAACTGTGAAACATGTTGATTTATTTTTACCATTCTTTATCTATACAATTCTTGTCTATCTCTCATCATAGGGAAGCACCATAACAAAGTACTCAAATTTATAAGAAACAAGCTATGGGAACCTAACAAATACTTACCACAGATAATCATTTTAAACATTACAACAAAAGAGATAAAAATACTTCTATTAACAAAAATGCATATTTATTCATACTTAATAGGTACAGCTTTAATATGTTTTAAAATAAAAATGCTAAGATGCAGTTATATAAGCCAAATATTTAACACTAAGTCAATTGTTACTACTAAACAACATGCAGCAAAGACTAAAAGAATAATTTTTATGTGCTTTTACCTGCATATTTCACTTCATCAAAAGCTTTTCTCGCTTTTTTCAGTTCCTCATTCATTGTTAGTAGGTCTTTTACCCTAGCATATTTTCGAGGGTCTTTTCGTACTAAAAATACTATATCTTCAACTTGTACTCGACCTGTTCTTCCAATTTCCATTGCCCTAATAATAATAATAAATATAAAATTAATAAGCACATTTAAAAGGTTTATTTATTTAATTACTTATGAGTCATTTCCGTAATAAACTCAATCACTAAATCTTCTATAATATCAACACTTTCTGTGTAAGGATTTTGATCATCACCAAAACCGTACATCATGCACCTTAATTCTTTACTAAAAAGCCTTTTTCTTCCATCGCTACATAGGGCTAATTGGGCATCGTTTCCTTCTTCTTCCTCAAACTAAATTATTGATTAAGAAGTTATTTTAGGGTGATTAAAACTTACCTGTTCTTCATCAACAGCAGCCATTTTGTTTGATGATAAACACCAAGCATAGATCGGTAACTCACCCTGTATAATCAAAGGATTCTTATAGTTCGCGAGATGAGAATCACCCAAATACTTAATTAATTAATAACAAACTTAAAGCTGTGTATGTGTATTATAAATTTAAGTAAATAAATAAGAATTAATATTTTACAATTTATCACTAAACTTAGTCCCTTGGAAAAGAGATGGCGCCACATCGCTTTATGTCAAATCAGTTTTTAACCTAAAAATGGATTTAGTCTCAACAATCTTAATAATAATCCTAATTAAATCGATAAAAAGCGAAGATTGGGATATTTATTGGCGTGATTATAAAGGAGAAATCCCAAAAGATGCTGACCCCGCCGAAGCGAACTCCGTTTACATTGGACAAGTTATTTAAGAAGGATTTTTATTCGCCGGATTAATTTACGCAAAAACAGATTCATTTCGATAATCTTCTTGAAAACCTCGTAAATACAACCATCGAAGGAAACGATTTTAATTGGTATATTGGAAAAACGTTCCATGAGAATCAATGGGGGGTTAATTTTTGAGTCGAATTCGAAATAAAATTGAGTGAATATAATTAAAGGTTAACAAGTTTATTGAAACGATTTGAAATAACCTTGATATCCTTGGGTGAATAATTTAATCTATTTAATTTGTTATGGTAAGTTAATTATACATACAAATATTTATTACTAATTTTTAAATTTAAATCGAAACTTTAAATTCAGTGATTTTGTTTTTTTTAAATTAAATTTAAGTTGGTTGCATTGACAAATGAAGTTCAATGTCATTTATGAAATTAGCTGATATTAATTTATTTTTTATTAATTCTTAAATTTATTTAATTTTATTGAATAGAAAAGGCGTCTATGGAAGAGATTTTAATGGAAATTAATCTAAAGATACCATGGATGCTGAAAAATCAATTGAAACGTTAGTTTTAAAGTTTGTTGAGATTTTTTTTAACTTGGATAATATAAGAAAAATAAAAAAATACAAGGATTTATCAAGGTAAGAAATAAACACTCATTTTTAATTAAACAGTTAATAAATTAGTAAAAATTAAAATCGGAAATTTTGAGGTTATCTTTTTAGTTTTAGTGATTTTTTATTTTTAAATTAATTTTAAGTTGGTTGCATTGACAAATGAAGAATGTCATTTATGAAATCAGCTGGTATTAATTTATTTTTGTATTAATTCTTAAATTTATTTTATTTAGTTGCATAGAAAAGGCGTTTGTTGAAGAGATTTTGATGAAAATTAACCTAAGGATACCATGGATGATGGAAAATCAATTAGAACCAAGGTTCCTCAAGATTTTATTTAACTCCGATAACCATTAATCGGGAAAAAAAAGGATTTTTTTCGGAATAATAAGGAAAATAAGAAATGAAAGGATTTATCAAGGTAAGAAATAAACACCCATTTTTAATTAAATAATTAGTATATCGGTAAAAATTAAAATCGAAAATTTTGTGGTTATCTTTTTAGTTTTACAATTAGTGATTTTTTATTTTTAATTAAATTTTAGTTGGTTGCATTGACAAATGAAGTTCATTGTCATTTATTAAATCTGTTGATATTTATTTGATTTTGTTGAATAGAAAGAACACTTGTTGAAGAGATTTTAATGGAAATTCACCTATAGAATATCAGGAATGCTGGAAAATCTATTAAAACTGAGGTTCGTCAAGATTTTTGTTAACTCCTGTATCTATTAATCGGAAGGAAAGGATTTTTGTTTCAAAATAACACGAAAAATGAGAAATAAAAGGACTTATGAAGGTAAGACTCATTTTCAATTAAAAAATTAATTTTTTTATTTAGTGATTTTTCATTTTAAATTAAACTTAAGTTGGTTGCATTGACAAATGAAGTTCAATGTCATTTATGAAATTAGCTGATATTAATTTATTTTTTAATAATTCTTAAATTTATTTGATTTTATTGAATAGAAAAGGCGTGTATTAAAGAGATTTGAATGGAAATTAACCTGATAATTCGGTGGATGATGAAAAATCAATTAAAACCAATGTTTGTTAAGATTTTTTTTTAACTCTGATAACCATTAATCAGAATTAAAGCACTAAAGCAACTAAATAAAAGGATTTATCAAGGTAAGAAATAAACACTCGTTTTTAATTAAATAATTGGTAAAAATTAAAATCGATAATTTTTAGATTATCATTTTAGTTTTAGTAATTTTTGATTTTTAATTAAATTTAAACTGGTTGCATTGACATATGAAGTTCATTGTCATTTAATGTCATCATTGCTTCATTAATTCTTAAATTTATTTGATTTTGTTGAATAGAAAAGGCGCTTATTGATGAGATTTGAATGGGAATTAACCTAAGGATGGATTAACCATGGATGCTGAAAAGTCAATAACACTTAATCAGAAGAAAATGGTTTTTGTTTATATCTAATTAGGAATAAAAGGATATATCAAGGTAAAAAATAAGCATATATTCACAATTAATTAAAGAAAAAAAATATAACTAGATTAATAGACAACATTTCTATTTTTATCGATTTTATTAGGATTGGAAATTAAAATATGTATTTTAAAGAAATTCTTTACATACATTATTTCTTGAGCTTGGCTTGTTTCTGCTAACCACTTTATGATACTACCTTTGACATGGTAGTAATTAGGAGCTCATATTTAAGGACAATAAATTTTATTTGAAATATACACTGTTTCTCTTATATCATTCAATCCAACACCTTTATCACAATTTTCCTAGTTAACCTCAAATTAATTCCGATTAGTTCGGTAATTGAATAATAGATGGCGATCTTATTTAAATTATTGATTTGGTTTGAAACACGGCTAAAGAAAAAATTATACTGGGTGATTCAAAATCACATTTATTTTTCTGAACATTTTATTTTAATTTCAATCTTTATTTGAATCACCCGGTATAGTTTTTTCCTTAGCCGAGTTTCGAACTAACCTCAATTTCAAAATCATCCTGATTAGTTCGGTAATTGAACGACAGATGGCGATACTTTCTAAATTACTGATGGTTCGAAACTCGGCTAACGAAAAAACTATACCGGGTGATTCAAAAAAACATTTAATTTCCCATAAATTTTATTTCAATTTCAGTCTTTATTTGAATCACCCGGTATAGTTTTTTCGTTAGCCGAGTTTCGAACCAACCTCAATTTCAATATCATCCCGATTAGTTCGGTAATTGAACGATAGATGGCGATATTTTTTAAATAACTGATGGTTTGAAACTCGGCTAACGAAAAAACTATACCGGGTGATTCAAAAAACATTTGATTTTGCGAAAATTTTATTTCAATTACAATTTTTATTTAAATCACCCGGTATAATTTTTTCGTCAGCCGAGTTTCGAACCAACCTCAATTTTAAAATTATTCCGATTAGTTCGGTAATTGAACCATAGATGGCGATTTTATTTAAATTACCGATGGTTCGAAACTCGGCTAAGAAAAAAGTATACCGGGTGATTCAAAAATAAATTAATCTCGAGAAAATTTCAATCCGAATTACAATTTTTATTTGGATCACCCGGTGTAGGTTTTTCCTTAGCCGAGTTTCGAACCAACTAAAATTTCAAAATTATTCCGGTTAGTTCGGTAATTGAACGATAGATGGCGATTTTAGTTAAATAACCGATGGTTCGAAACTCGGCTAAGAAAAAATTATACCGGGTGATTCAAAAATAAATTAATTTCGAGAAAATTTCAATCCGAATTACAATTTTTATTTCGATCACCCGGTATAGTTTTTTCCTTAGCCGAGTTTCGAACCAACTAAACTTTCAAAATTATTCCTATTAGTTCGGTAATTGAAATATAGATGGCGATATTAATTAAACTGGTTAGTTTGAATCTTTACTAAGTGAAAATTTGTACCGGGCGATTCAAAAATTTTCATTATTTTAAATTAAAACACCAAGAAACTTGTATTTTCTTTTTTTATTTATTTTTTATAGTCAAAATATAATAATTACAAGTTTATTTTTATATAATGATATGCATGCATAAATTTGGACACAAAAACAAAAAGTAACCCATTTCTTTAGAGGAAATGATCCTGACGACGATATACTCATGAAGAATTATCGACGTCTATATCATTATTAATAATAGTGCTTTTTTATTGATGGGTTTTTGTTAAATATTTAAAAAAAAATGTAATTTGAGAAAAAAAATAAATTAATTAATTGAGGTGTAGGCAACCCAAACCACTATTGTCAAGAATATTCAGCAATTTTCTGGAAAGTTACCACCATAGATTACTATGCCGGCTTATTATTATACTAACACACATCGCGATATTTTTCTTAATAAATAATAACATCTAAAAGACATTTAAACTCTTAACATTGTTTTTTAAGAATTATTTTATTTGCCTAGATGTAGCATAAGAGCTACAGTTCTTGTTTTGGACATAAGAATAAGCAACCACTTCAAAAGAAAATGTTAGATCTTCCACAGATTCGCTTTCAGATAGGCCTAAGACAAATTAATGGTTGTTAGATAAATCAGCATTTTTAAAAATTACAAAAAAACTTTAATTTTAGGTTTTCTCATTTTTTTTTTAATATAACAAATTAATTTTTATGATTATTCATTTTAATTTGCATTAAAATTAGTTAAAATGAAAATAAATTGTATACTTTATATAAAAAAATACTTACGTTAAGTAGTTTTCAGGATTTTAGTAATGAAGAAATGGATTAAGTCAAATTTTTAAGGTTATGTTTTTTGTTTGTATTGAAAATTTAAAACAAATGTGTATGCAACCCAAATTACAAATACTTAAAAATTACAAAAAAACTTAAATTTTTGTTTTTCTTACTTCTTTTTAAATATAACAAATTAATTTTTATGTACCCAATAAATCATATATTATTATAAATTTAAATTTTAAAGGTAATATTAGTTAAAATAAAAATAAATTATATACTTTACAAAGAAAATACTTACATTAAGAAGGTTCTGAGACAGTTTTTGGGTATTATTTAGAATTCAATATGTACAGCTTCAACATTTCTAGAGCTATCTCCTCTTGATGACATTTCATCTATTAATATTCTTTGGCTTTGGCTCCTCCTAGATAACCTCACAATTAGTGGTGAATTTAAATAATTGTCCATCCTTTGTACTGTTTCCCTAGAAGAAATTAAATTTTTACTGAAATACGTGTTATCTCTTAAATACTATTAAAACTAACATTTTAATAATGAAGACAACTTTAAACAATTAAGTCAAATTTTTAAGGTTATGTTTTTTGTTTGTATTGAAAATTTAAAACTATTGTGTATGCAACCCAAATTACAAATATATAAAAATTACAAAAATTTTAATTTTGGGTGTTTTCTTACTGTTTTTTAATATAACAAATTAATTTTTATGTACCGAATAAATCATATGTTATTAATAATTAAAATTTTACAAATTAAGTTCATAATGGAAATTAAAATCAATCATTTTTAATGAAACCAACTAAACGTAATGGATTGTATTTTCTTGTTGTCTATATAGACATAACACTACATTAATTTTAATTTGTATTAGAATTAGTTAAAATTAAAATAAATTGTATATTTTACATAAAAAATACTTACATTAAGTAGTTTCCGAGATAGGTTTTGGGTATTATTTAGAATTCAATGCACAGCTTCAACGTTTCTAGAGCGAGCTCCTTATCCTCCTTTTCCATTAATATCCTTTGGCTCCTTCTAGATAACCTCATAATTAGTGATGAATCTAGGTAATTGTACATCTTTCTTACAGTTTCACTAGAAGAAATCAAATTTTTACTATGAAATATGTGTTATCTCTTAAATAATGTTATTAGTATTAACATTATTACACGTTAAACGATTTTAATAATAAAATTAACTTTAAACAATTAAGTCAAATTTTTAAGGTTATGTTATTTGTTTGTATTGAAAATTTAAAATTGGTGTGTATGCAACCCAAATTACAAATATTTAAAAATTACAAAAAACTTTATTTTTGGGTTTTTCTTATTGTTTTTAAATATAATAAATTAATTTATATGTACCGAATAAATCATACATTACTAAAACTTTAATTCGTAACGGAAATTAAAACGAAATCAACTTACATTAAATAATTTCCAACGCTTCAACGTTTCTAGAGCAAGCTCCTCTTCACCACATTTCCTCTACCAATAACCTTTGGCTCTTTCTAGGTAACTTCACAATTAGTGATGATTAATTGTTCATCCTTCATACAGTTTCCCTAGAAGAAATCAAATTTTTACTACGATATACGTGTTATCACTTAAACAGTGTTAACACTAACACTTTAAACTATTTTAATAATAAAGACAAACTTTAATATTAAAAAAAAATTGTGCAAGTCAAACTTTTAAGGTTATGTTTTTTGTTTGTATTGAAAATTTAAAAGAATTGTGTATGCAACCCAAGTTGCCTAATCATATTTTTAGTTGCCTATATCAACATAATTAATAACATTGATTTTAATTTCCATTAAAATTAGTTAATCATGAATAAATAATAAATCAAGCGATAACATTCATATCTAGACATTGATAGGATGATAATTATTTTTTAATCAAATCCAACCATCTGGAGTTGTTATAAAAACGGGAGAGATAACTTTAACATTTAGCTTTTCAATATAATACACTCCCAAGATTTTTGAAACATCTCTTTTATAGCATCCACCTCCATCTTACCTGCCGATTCTTCATGATTTGCCGAACAATTTTCTTCATATTTATCCATCCAAGTATAATATTCCTCAGTCCCAGATCTTGATTTCCATAGTTGACAAGCCACTTTTCCACTATACGTTCCAATAAGAGTTGCCATTCCAAATAATTAATGAATTAAGTCACTTCTTTTTCCGCGTTCCATCACCAGACACAGTAATTTCTGTTGCCGAATTGCCGTTCATGGCACACTAGGTTAATAACGATATGTGTGCATTTTTCAAAAAATCCTAATTATTTCCTAAATTATTCATATTAAGTATAGGACATATGGGGTATAAAAGTTATTCATAAACCATGCTCCATTTAAAAAAATAAAGTTGGTAACGACTTCCGGTATAAACAAATCTGTGTCAAACGAAAATTACGATATTTCATACACAATCGTTTTTGACTCAATCATAAGCAGGGCACGGAACTTTTGTAACAAAACGATACTTTACTTCGTGAGAGCCTGGTGTTATCGGGTTTTAACTATAGGGATATGTTGTACTCCTCTTTTCTATCTAAACGTATAGCTCAAAAAATACAAAAAGTACAAAATTCATATCTGCGACTAATTTTTGGTATAAGGCGACGAGAACACATTAGTCACAAGTTGATTAAAACAAGCTGGTTAAATATGATCAACCGCAGAAAATTACATTGCGCAACAGCTTATTTCAATATTATAACGACAGGCCTTCGCCGGAAGATACGGTACAGGACGGACGTGCACACCCTCAATATTAGGTTTAAGGGAACTCTTACACCACCCATTTACAAACGTCAATTTTTAAAAATATGCTATTCTTACCAAATTTCAAAACTGGTTAACGAGATTTCTGGATCTGTAGGACTGTGCACGTCCGTTGCACTACTTAAACGTCGATATAGGGCACCCTTGTTTTCGGCTCAATCCACCTTTCAGGGTTACCGATGATGTTAATACCTCAACTCTGCCGTAACGGCAGATACGGCAGAGTTGATTTGCGCATAAATTCTCTCTTGTTCGTGTTTTCTTTCTCTTTTCATGTTCTTTTCTGTTTTGTCTATGTCTATGTTTATTATTTTTAAGGGGGTGATTGTGGAAGAACGATAGGAGACTATCGAACATCACCTTTTGTTCATAAATTTAGATATGTAAATTTTTTGTATTTTCAATAATATGTATACTCGTGATCTTTTTAAATGAAAATTAAAGAAGGATGGCTAGCTCGAAGTCGGGGAAGGTCGGGTTGGTTTACTTTGAAACCCTGCGCGAGGCTAAGGGGCTGGAGTAATCACGACGGACAAAGCAGGTAGAGAAGAAGTAATTTAGAATTTGTCACTACGGGATTTTTAAATAGGTTTATTGTAATAGAAACCAGCTAAATATTCGATTAAATTATCGAAAATAGCATAATAAATTATTTAATGTATTATGTTTTATTAAAAAATGATTTTTGGAAAACAAATAAAAATTGTTCCTAATTTAAATCAATTTTATGATGATAACTATTAAAATATAAATACAGAAAAAATATTAAATGATAATATTATTACAGTAAAACTTAATTTACATGATTTTCGAACAATTGATTCGATTGTATTGATTGTGCAGTTTCAATTATTTAATGTGTTTCAATTATTGTTTCTAATTTAAATCAATTTCATGATGATAATATATTAAGATATTAATACTGATTAATTATTAATATTATTACAGTGTGATTCAAAACTTCTTTTATCAAAAGTTAAAAAACGTAGAACGTTTTGTCACTTAAAGTTTTTTGTTTTTTTGCTCCGTTTTAATTTTTTCTATATTTCAACCAATTAAATTATCGTATCTCTACCAAATCTGAATGAAAACATACGGCTTCAAAACACACCACCTGAACATTATAAAGTATTAAGATTTGTTTAATAATAAATGTCAGTATTTATACAAACCAGTTAACTATTTTTTTATTTTATTTTATTTATATTTTGTCTTGCGCTCGTTCCCGGAAATAAGTAAAAATGCCGCCTTTGTGTCATTTTACAACCCTCGAAATAAAGAGACTATTTTTAAATTAATAATAATAAAGAGACCTTTTAATTGATTTAAATTAGGAACAATTTTTATTTGTTTTCCAAAAATCATTTTTTAATAAAACATAATACATTAAATAATTTATTATGCTATTTTCGATAATTTAATCGAATATTTAGCTGGTTTCTATTACAATAAACCTATTTAAAAATCCCGTAGTGACAAATTCTAAATTACTCCTTCTCTACCTGCTTTGGCCGTCGTGATTACTCCGGCCCTTTAGCCTTGCGCAGGGTTTCAAAGTAAACCAACCCGACCTTCCCCGACTTCGAGCTAGCCATCATTCTTTAATTTTCATTTAAAAAGATCACGAGTGTACTTACCTATATCGATTTTTGTGAACAATAAACTTGTTTATTATTATTATTATACGATTTTCCCCCTCCACTCGTTCTCAGCGGCGTTCGTTGAGATAATCTTGATTAATTTTATTTAAAACATTTTTTGATAAAAGCAATAATTATAGAGTTAATTAATTTTGATGGCATACTATTCAGAGGGAAATTAAAATTTCAAGTTAGCAAAAAATTTTATTAACAAACACTGTTCCTGAAGTAATTCTAAACAAATGTTGTTAACAACATTTTTTG